TAAGGAATGGGTATTAAGATAAATAAAAGGAAAACATTTCACACTGATGATTTTCAAGGATTATTTGAGAATTTATTTATCATTATCATGCATATAACTTTATATACGTGCACTAATATTATGCAGTCATCATAAACTGCCCATTTTATAATTTCAGACCTGTTTCTAATAATATTGTCTTTTGTACCTGACATATACCGGTTTACAATACACTGTCTATTTAAAGCCACATCGTATATAGAACCCACACAAGTTTAAATCTTCATGCATGGGCATGCTCTTCTTCTAAGCCATAAGGGATAACTGTATAAGAGTGATAAGGGGAGACTATTTCAAATACTATTTTTTTCCTATAAGACACTGCTAGATTATTTTAAAAAATGAGTAATCTTTTTGAAACTACTAGTCTTTAATCATCACTGTCTTCATCGTTTTCTTCATCCTCATCTTGTTGGAACAATCCGTCAAAAGTGTTACGGTATCTAGGCATAATTCTGTTCAGAGCAGTGTTCAATTTCATGCCCGTAATCAATTTTCGTTCGATATCTTCCACAATTTCTTGATGAGTGCCACTGTCTTTCAGATATAGGTAAAAAATCCTTGTATTTGTTGAAAAAGATTCGCTCGACTGCCCACATGGTCTTCCTGTTGGCCTTTTCCTTGGCCTGATCTTTACTCATATCCTCGTTAATGTACTTTTCATATTAAATTTTGTCACTCCACATCTCCTGGGTGGCTTCTATGGACTCTTTCAACCAGTCTCGATATGCGGTGTTGTCTTCCAAATCAGAACTAGACTCGTCTTCATCAGATAATTCGTCATCTTCCACCTCCGTTTCGGATTCCGAATCATCGTCCTCAAGATCTTCGTCTTCATCATACGTAGATTCAGCTTCATAGTTTTCCATATTATATAGATCTTCAAATCTACGGCTTTGCCAATCAGGTTCAGAATGATCCTCCTCAACTTCATCTGTTTCAGAATCATCTACAGCATGTACATTGTCTGCATGCCTCTGTAGGTTATATCTCCGTCCGAAGCTTTTGTCACACATGTGACAAGCATAAGGTTTGACTGCAGAAATAACATTCATGTTGCAGTTTTGAAGGTTAAGCTCCGAATGGTAAGAAACGGATAAAAACGTTTAATATATAAGTCACTGCTCATCTGCTCAATTCATTGCTCATTTACTCGTGAGTAACTACTTTCTGCTCATCTTCTCATTTCCATTGCTCATCTGCTCAATTCATTGCTCATTTACTCGTGAGTCACTGCTCATCTACTCACGAGTCACTGCTCATCTACTCAGTTTCATTGCTCATTTACTCGTGAGTCATTGCTCATCTACTCATGAGTAAAATGAGCAACGAAATTTTTACTTTGAATTTTTACTTTACTTTGATGTACAGAAAAAAAATGTTCTCACGACAAAAAGTAGTAGCGCGCAGTTCCGACCCGACGCAATCGCGATGTGCCGACGACCGGCACGCGACCGGGGAAACACGGGACACTCTGCACTGTCATGATTGTGTCGGCCAATGCATTTAAGTTTCTGTGCCCCTCAAAAGCTCCCTTTTATGACTCTTTTCTTATCGGACAAATATGTGGCTTTTATAATGGTTTAATTGTTACTTCTGTCAGCGAACGATGTGTGACTTTTACAGACAATTTCATGATTGTTTATATTCTGTTCACGAAAATGTGAAAAAAATAAACATGTACACATGTACATATTTGTCCTAGTCAGCTAGTACTGTAGTAGGCTTAGCTAGCTAGCCTACTCCATTGTTTTACTCATAAAAATAATTGCGAAGTCTTATGTGGGTTTTTTTTCTCCGTCATCAAACAATAAATATCTCTATCTTACGTTTCTTCTTCTCTTGATAGATGTCATCAAAGAGCATGTAAACACACTCAGATTCCACTCATGCAGGGATAAGAAACACTTCCCTCTCTGGACTCAACTGACCTAACGGCAGGATTTCAAAGTAAAATCATCGACTACAGTCTGCAGCAACCACTTTAAATACGGCCAGCCATATCCTGATGAACTTCACCCATCTTTATTTTTGAGAGGATACGACCTTCCTGAGACACTGAAAAGAGCACCGGTGAAGAGTCGAGCATTGGATCTCACTACACCACTGCCGGCCATCTGAGAAAATCAAAACCTTGCTGTACCTTTTCTTAAGTTTTTAGCTGTTTCGGTGTACACACCGAAACAGCTCTTGTTTTCGTTAAGATTTTTTTTTAGCTGTTTCGGTGACACACCGAAACAGCTCTTGTTTTCGTTAAGATTTTTGGCTTTTTCGCAAATTTGCGAAAAAGCCTTTGTTTTTGTTCTCATTTTTTTTTTTGGCTTTTCCGCAAAGTTGCGGAAAAGCCTTTCTTTTTGTTCTCCTCCTCCTCCTCCTCCTCCTCCTCCTCCTCCTCCTCCTCCTCCTCCTCCTCCTCCTCCTCCTCTTCTTCTTCTTCTTCTCTTCTTCTTCTTCTTCTTCTTGAATATTTAATATTTACCATAGACTTTGTACACAGAAATTAAAAAGAAATTGTCGATTTTCAAAGGGCATTTTCGACTATTTGCCAGTAATTCATTTACACCAATCTTTGTCCAAGGAAAGACCCTAACTCAAACAGCATTGTGTAATGATGACGTCATGATGACGTCATCCGGTGTTTATTAATGGGCAATTAAATTGTGACACTTTTAATATTTAAAAATACATAAGAAATCAACCGTATGCGTCCGCAGCATTCTGTTGCCGGCAGGTGGTAGAGTAGGTTGAGGTCTTTATTTCATTTAGTGTGCGTGAAATCACGTGACCCTTGCTTCCTGTCGAAAAAAGCCAAAACCGGAAGTGGCTTATTATTTAAAAGGGGTAATAGATATGAACTTGCTTTCAACGGTGTTAGTCTCTTGGCTGAGCGTATTCTTCAAATCATCTACAGATGACGTCATGCAATCTTTGATCGCCCTCTAGCGACAGGTTGAACATTTTCAAAAATGAATTTTGAATAGATGTCCGTAACGAAAGTTGCTGGAATCGCCTAAAAATTGGTGTATATGATGATCTTGACCCACTTAAGACGTGTGCAAAGTTTTAGGCGTATGACGTCATCAGACCGGAAGTTCCGTTGAAAAGAACTTTCCTTTTTCAAAAATTGCTAACAAATCAATCCGTACAGATATAATCTTGAATTTCCTATTAAATAATAGGGTTAACATTTGCCTCAACAGTGCCAAGTTCCCAGCTTGTCAAATTGTTCACGCAGTTGACGCGACGTCGGCTAAAAATACCCTTGCGCAAGTTGCGGTAGAGAGCTTTAAAACATGCACAGGACTTCCACGATGTGCATATGACATGCACGTACGTTGTACATATATGTACGCACATACATCGTATGTAAGTCAGCCCGGCCGCATGCAGCGCACGTGTTGCCGAGGTCTAATCCTGTCCACAGTGACCGTTTTAGCCGATTTTCGGCTAACTTTGACAGATTTTATGTTCATGCTTCCTTATAATCTGAAATTCATTGAATGTAATTTTTTTCTTTTTTTTTTTTATTTTTGAACTTTCAGCATTGTTTTCCAATGAAATACACTTTAAACTTCAAAATGATTTCCACACAATGAAACCACAGCCTGTGGTTAAACAGAGGTGTGCTTAACTTGAAAATGAGAATCTTTAAAGAACCTGCATTGTGAAATGTAAGGACGCCCTCTTGTGGCTGAATAAATTGTCTGCGTAATACATACATGAAGCTGTACATGCAGATATCACCGCTGGTTTTTTTTTATTTGCGTCGTGTTTGGCTGGAGGTTTTGGGTCCGAAAACTAGAACAGTGTATTCTCAAACTGAACGATTCCTTAAACTTAACAATAGAGTAAGACGAAAGTTGTTTACGCGGTGCGCAAAACTAACGTGGCTTAAAGTTAGCAGACCAGTAAATAAACTTTTATAGACCCCAATGGTAAATGCTCACACTTCAGAAATTCGGGAAAATACTCACTCTCCAACGTGTTCAAGACACACATCAAATTAAAGCGTATTTCATCATCTTTCATTTTCTTTTCAATTTTTTTGGGGTTGAATGACGAGTTTTAAAAGATGCTATGAAACAACATACACAATTTTTTTATGAAACAACGCAGATTATAAAATGGCCATGGACTTTAATGGGTTAAAATGTGATATAACCATATCCTATCTGTGATTAAAAAACACAACACATTTTTATTTGTATAATTTTTTTATTTGTATGAAAGCATTTTCTTTAATATAAAACAATAGTATTCTACCAAACAAAATAGCAAAAATGTTTCCTCAAAATTCCATAAATTATTGTTCCCTGAAATCCTTGAAAATGTCATGTTTTGCATTGTTTACGATATCTTGCTTGAAACATCCGGTTGATGTGCGCAGAGGGTGAAACGTTTACAGCTGGAATCTCAACCAGCACTGAACACACATATTTTGAGGGTTGCAAAAGTGCCCCCCCCCCCAGGTGATTTTCAATGGATGTTTGTGTAGTTGTTTATATCCCGAGCACTTAACACCATTCGACTCAAAATGCATTTTGTAGCCCAATTGCGCATTTGCCAGGCTGCAGTGTCTCTTTAATGAGTTTAATCTATAAATGATATTGTAAACAAATACTTAAATTAACATAGACGAAATGACGCAAAAGTAGGCAATTATCTCGGTAGCAATTCATAGCTTAGCCAGTGTCACAGTCTTACTTATAATGTGCTCACTTCTTCACAAACACAGTGCAGTGAGCACACGCAATAAGGTTGGCGATAATGTACAGCCGCAGCACAATTTTGCACGTGCGTATTGAAGTTAAATGTCCCTTTTGGAGAAGTGCGCACACCTGATAAGTGAGACCATGACACTGGCATACTTGGTGCGAACATGAATCAGCCAATGCTTGATAATATCACATTTTCATAGCAATCAGACAAAGTATGCACGGGCATTAATATGCTCCCTCCCTCCCCCCCCCCCCCCCTACACTCACCCCTCCCCAAAATTACCAAATATTTATCCACAATCATATTTTATGTAATTCAATACATTTATGATCACAATCACTTATGTATTGTGCTATGTACAAGGAGAAAGCCCATTTTAACGCCGTACTTTGCACGATTTTTATCATAATAATAGCATAATCATTGCAAACAGTATTGCATGTACATGTCACAACCACTCTTGTGGGTACTCTCTTTGCCAATAACACCAAAGCTTTGAATATCTTGGATAAAAATTAGCATTGAATTGTTTTTCTACCAAGTAGAAATGGCATTAAACAGTCCTTGTTGCCCTTTATCTTACTGTTTAAATAAAAAAAATTGGTTGGGAAAATGTTTTGACCAACTTTTTCAAGGAACAAGAACAATTGTTTTGCCCTTAAAAACAACTGCTTTCTCGATCTACTCTTGACCGTGCACAAAAAAGGCATGCTACTAGTATAGAATAACCTCAAGCAGCCAACTAACTCTTCCAGAGGACTGGAATAGCTAGTTGACTATATGAGCTAATTGCAAGTCCTCCAAATAATACGAATGTTCAACAAACCACCGTGACAGGTTTATTATGAGTGTTTCAGAGTCTCTTTGTTCATATGGTGGTTCCTCAAGGTTCAAGAGAATGCTAAATGTGTAGGTTGTAGCAGCATAAGACAACTTGCAATCCAATACTGGCTGAGACTGTAAAAGCACAATAACTCCACATATCTGGAGGTGTGACAGCAGGATGTTGCTGACAGAGTGGGAACTAGTAGGTGCTGAGAATGTACAAGCACACAATAACTCCAAGTGCCGGTAGCTGGACAGGATGTTGCTGACAGAGTGGGAGCTGGTAGGTGCTGAGAAAGTACAAGCAAATAGTAACTCCGAGTACCAATAGCTGGACATGTGACAGCAGGATGTTGCTGACAGAGTGAGAGCTAGTAGGTGCTGAGAATGTACAAGCACACAGTAACTTCAAGTACCAGTAGCTGGACATGTGACAGCAGGATGTTGCTGACAGAGTGGGAGCTGGTAGGTGCTGAGACTGTAGTGACAGCAGGATGTTGCCGACTTTGGAAGCTGATAGGTTTGCATATGTCTTTCCCTGAATAAAACAAAACATGAAATGCTTGATCATAAACAGCACTCTACACAAATTATGCATGGTAAATTTTTGGCACAACAAATCTTTGCAAACTGCTCAGCAACTATTGGACACGATCACTTCAAGTTGCATTTTACTGAAAGTGTAATATTATTTCTAGAAATGTATTCAAGGCCTTTTTATGTCAGACTCCACATGCCAAGTGCAATCGTTGTCCAAAGTACAAACATTATAACCTTTTTAAAAAATCAGGAAAATACAACATTTGCATACATCACAAAACAAAACTACCAAATTAGTATGTGATACCTTACTGGACTGTTGGTAAATGACAGTCTAAAGCATCCTATAAAATCATGTCACCTTGTATGCCATCATTTTTAAGATAAGTGGTATTTCTGTACAATTTCCAACACTAATTGACCGACCAGCCTTTGGAAAATCTGACTCTTTTCACATACTGTCCCAAATTTACCGTATTTAGTCAGTCCACATTTTCTTTGCAATCAATGATATAACCCATGAATGGCTACAAGCTAGCCTGACTGTCACCATTCAATTTCAGTGGGGTCAGGGAACCAGCTTACAAGGTCATGATTGTTTTTCTTGGTTTTTCCAGCATCTACGAACACAAAACTTTAAAACAGTCAGTACAACAAAATTACAGAAAAAGCAAACGTTGTATATTCCCTTTAATGACTACATGTACTTGTGTTTTAACACCAAGAATTGCTATTTTCATTTGGCAGGATATTTTTACTTGTGGAAGCTTTTTCACACTGAAGTATAAATTTATACATTTTTGTGCGTAAAAGCTTTTATAACCGTTATTCTTATTCAGGCAGTTTTTAACTTTTACATCCGCAATCATGCAACATTTAATGTGACAATCACAACAGATTGTCAGTTAAATATCTACTCACCTGAACAATACTGTGCATGTATTAGCATGTAGAAAGTATATGCTGTCACAGTGTGCCTTTGCTAACAGGAAGAACATACGTAGAGATGTGGCAACTGAAGCAACACAGCCATCTTTACAGAGATGATCTACACAGAATTAATTGATTTATTGATTACTTCTTCATCAAATCCTATGCCATAATTGGCAAGTATTTCGAAGTTGTACATATATAAATTTTCAGTAATCAGAGAAATGATCACAAATTTCTAGCTTGAAAATTGCTATTGCAAAGAAATTTTGCCTAGACATGCTAGATGCATAATGCAATTGTACAGTTGTTTTTAATGATACTTATCTTTGGAATGCACACAAATATTTACTACAATGCACGTTCCTGTCTGACATATTAGTCTGGTGGCATGAAATTTTTTTCACAAAAGTGCGAGATGATGTGTAACACATCACCAGCTGAGTTAAGCACTTCACAAAAGTATAGGTGAGGCGACACATTATGTTGATCACAATTAACATCAGAAAGCCCCAAGTCCTTATAGCATGGGAATCAGCGTCTGCACACAAGCCCCAGAGTAGAAATTCTCACCGGGAAGATGATCCAAACCAAACACAATTCAGTTCATTTTATTTTTTTAAGAACAAAAATTTAAACATCAAAAAAAAAAATAATAATAATTATGCCAAAATCCAGAACATCAGACAATCTGTCTCACCTGCACAATGTTGAATACTGGCATGCTAAGTGATGCTGTCAGAGTGCTCATTGGAAACTGGAAGGAAACATGCTGATTTGTGGTTCATGGCTTCTACAAACAATCAGATAAGAGAATGACATGCATGAGGATCCATCACAAGGGTGTTCCACAAAAAAAAAATAAAGTGTGTCCCCCAAAACTCCCTCTGGAAAGATACATAACATGTCTCATAATATATCAAATATCTCACATTCAATGTTATACCAGCTGTTGATGATCACAAGCATACATGTGTATTGTTCTTTCTTGTGTGAAATTTTAGTTCGATTCAGTTCAATGGTTTTGTTTACAACTGACAAAACGATGCTCCTTACATTACAATGATACAATCTAAGTAAAATATTCAACAGTTACACTCACCTGAACCATGCTTGAAGGCTGGATGACGGCACTGTAACTTGGCCAAGCACAGAAACCTGTACAAATGAATCAGAAGTTCAGTCTATTGCAAGTCACATCCATCATATCATCTTTGTTGGTGATGACTGTACACAAGCACTGAGTCAGCTGGAGGTCTGCATGAAAGGCACTTAGGTAGTATGGTAGCTAATACAGCCTATGCTAAACAGTGCTGAAGCATCACAGTTTCTCTAACATCTGCTGCTTCTCCAATTATGTGCCGATGCTTGAGGCTGCCTTTGAAGTAGGGGGCCTGGTTGACAAGGCCAATCTCCAGCTAACACAATCATCAGCAGCTTGCCTTCCACACTAGTAGTGGTTGATGCAGCAAGTGATGAGAGATTTTTAAAGATGTCTGCATATCTCTTCCACAGTGCTCCTCTGTCAAGATCATAAGTACATAGTTCTGTGTACTGAACAATCTTTAGTAGGTTATGATCCTGAAACGTGGAGACACATCTTTCTCAATTCAACATGCAACATACTAGAGACCTCTACTGCCCCGGATGAAATCAGTCCAGTTTGTGTCCACATTAGTGTAGAAGCAACAGTAATGGAAACACACTAAAGGAGCAGCAGGTATCAAAGGCTGACAACCCAGTATGTATCCGCACCATATAGACAAGACGCAAGACTAGCTTTGGACAGTACATGCTCATGTATTGCTATATTTCTTTATGTTCTTGGTTAAGACAAGTTTGTAAACACTGCCACAAGCAGAGTTTCCTTTGATCAGTTTACTGTCCACATCTCTGTCAAGCATTACCGCTACAAAAGAGCCAAACTGTTCATCTGCATACCAACTCCATTCTGTCAATTGAGATACGCAGTGGGTGGCTCTTTTCAAGGCGTATGTGTGAAGAAGTGCAGCACTTCTGTCTTTTTTCAGGTAGAAGTCCATGTGAGGCAGACTTTACTTGGGTCGTTTGCATCTCAATATCCAGTTGAGTTTTTACTAGCTGTTCTACAATGCAATCGATTGCCGAATCTGGAATATTGCAACTGGCACTAATTAAAGAGGGTGTCAAAATACTCCCACGTAAGAAAGTACACATGTACAGCTCTCAACTTTTTTTGTCAGCAAACACTGTCTTCCCATCTGTGGGGGACAGAAACCGTAAAATGGTTGGAAAAAATAGAAGCGTCCAAAGCTGCTGGATCCACGTGCCAAATAGGTCACATAGGGAATTACACCTTGACCCCTACTTCGTACGTTGCTTTGATGACCTGTTCCCTCTGGTATGACCTGGGTGGCATCACAGGTCGTGACCTGACCCTGGCAAGGTCAATTGCGCTCAGGACATGTTGTCCCCTCCGGGCGAGAATGATCCGGCAAGATGGTTGTTACATGTCCTAGGATTTTTTAAAGGTTTGAAGAATGGTGGTGTTGATGACCCATAGCATCTCTGAAGTTCAGTCAGCTCGGTTTCTCCATCCACATAAGTTCCAGTTATCTTGTTTGTTGGCTCTCTACGATAAATATTTATGTTAAAGTCATCCAGCGGCATTCCAAAATGTACCTGTCTGACAAACCATCTTTCCTCATCTTTCCTCCACTAGGTATTATTTTGGGTATGCTGATGTAAGAAACATTTTTCAGATTACACTTAGTTATAATCCATCAGGTACCATTATTTCACAGTTCTTTTTGTGACATTTTTCACTTACCATCAATAAACTCACTGCATCTTCTGCGTTATGTACATCTCTTCAGTATAATCGTCAGAGATGAACTTTACCTACAAAAACAAATGCATCATACTTGCATGAGTATTTAAAATTACCTTGGATATTGCACACGATTTCTGTTTGAAAGACAACCTTGACAAAAAACAAATTACCCTAATCATTGAAACTGTAGTAATTAGTTCAACACAAGTACCTTCATTTCTCTAATTGATCAGTATCGCCGATGACAACCAATTCAAGTTCATGTATTACAATTTGTCATTACCTCAAATTACATCTAAAAATTTAAGGCATGTATATAATTCTTGATGCTACAGTTTGCATAACTTGTCACTCTTGCATTTTGCAAGATTTAGCCAGTGATTAACCCTCCATGAACAAATGCCACAAAAAGAACATTTCAGCAGATTGAGGTAGTATACAATTTGAAACAATGGATTTCACCTGATAATGAGGATGAAATTAGGCCATAACAATGAGGCAGCTAAACGTATTATAAAAACAAACTGATTGATTTTATCAAAAAAAAGCTACCGGTACTTGATCATACATGTATATTTTATTATGCACAATGTTGAATTGTCTACAAATGGCTATGTTGCATTTTGGAAAGCAAGTCTTTGACTTCAACACCTACACATACAAACACAGGGGCCCCACTACACAATAAAACTCTAAGAAAAAGCATGAAATTAAACATGCACAACTCAACTCACAAAACCCCAACAGCGGACCCTCAGAGAACATCCCGTCCCGGCCGTCGTCAATACCTGCAAGTACACTCGGACAAGAGACAGGGAAGAAAGAAGAAAAAACTGCAAAAGAAAAAAAGAGAGGGTTAGTCTGTGCACTAATGAACTTGATTTCAACATCAAATCAAAGAGTTTCCCTCCAAAACGCCATTCTTCGTCACTTTTTGGGAAGAATTTTCCTCGAGAGTCAGCTTTTCTGCTGTGATTTACTCTCTGGAGTCTTAAGACTCTAGACATTTGGCACCAGTATTCCAAATGGCTATGTTGCATTTTGGAAAGCAAGTCTTTGACTTCAACACCTATACATACAAACACAGGGGCCCCACTACACAATAAAACTCTAAGAAAAAGCATGAAATTAAACATGCACAACTCAACTCACAAAACCCCAACAGCGGACCCTCAGAGAACATCCCGTCCCGGCCGTCGTCAATACCTGCAAGTACACTCGGACAAGAGACAGGGAAGAAAGAAAAAAAACTGCAAAAGAAAAAAAGAGAGGGTTAGTCTGTGCACTAATGAACTTGATTTCAACATCAAATCAAAGAGTTTCCCTCCAAAACGCCATTCTTCGTCACTTTTTGGGAAGAATTTCCTCGAGAGTCAGCTTTTCTGCTGTGATTTACTCTCTGGAGTCTTAAGACTCTAGACATTTGGCACCAGTATTCCAAATGGCTATGTTGCATTTTGGAAAGCAAGTCTTTGACTTCAACACCTATACATACAAACACAGGGGCCCACTACACAATAAAACTCTAAGAAAAAGCATGAAATTAAACATGCACAACTCAACTCACAAAACCCCAACAGCGGACCCTCAGAGAACATCCCGTCCCGGCCGTCGTCAATACCTGCAAGTACACTCGGACAAGAGACAGGGAAGAAAAAAAAAAACTGCAAAAGAAAAAAAGAGAGGGTTAGTCTGTGCACTAATGAACTTGATTTCAACATCAAATCAAAGAGTTTCCCTCCAAAACGCCATAACGCCATTCTTCGTCACTTTTTGGGAAGAATTTTCCTCGAGAGTCAGCTTTTCTGCTGTGATTTACTCTCTGGAGTCTTAAGACTCTAGACATTTGGCACCAGTATTCCAAATGGCTATGTTGCATTTTGGAAAGCAAGTCTTTGACTTCAACACCTATACATACAAACACAGGGGCCCCACTACACAATAAAACTCTAAGAAAAAGCATGAAATTAAACATGCACAACTCAACTCACAAAACCCCAACAGCGGACCCTCAGAGAACATCCCGTCCCGGCCGTCGTCAATACCTGCAAGTACACTCGGACAAGAGACAGGGAAGAAAGAAAAAAAAACTGCAAAAGAAAAAAAGAGAGGGTTAGTCTGTGCACTAATGAACTTGATTTCAACATCAAATCAAAGAGTTTCCCTCCAAAATGCCATAACGCCATTCTTCGTCACTTTTTGGGAAGAATTTTCCTCGAGAGTCAGCTTTTCTGCTGTGATTTACTCTCTGGAGTCTTAAGACTCTAGACATTTGGCACCAGTATTCCAAATGGCTATGTTGCATTTTGGAAAGCAAGTCTTTGACTTCAACACCTATACATACAAACACAGGGGCCCCACTACACAATAAAACTCTAAGAAAAAGCATGAAATTAAACATGCACAACTCAACTCACAAAACCCCAACAGCGGACCCTCAGAGAACATCCCGTCCCGGCCGTCGTCAATACCTGCAAGTACACTCGGACAAGAGACAGGGAAGAAAGAAAAAAAACTGCAAAAGAAAAAAAGAGAGGGTTAGTCTGTGCACTAATGAACTTGATTTCAACATCAAATCAAAGAGTTTCCCTCCAAAACGCCATAACGCCATTCTTCGTCACTTTTTGGGAAGAATTTTCCTCGAGAGTCAGCTTTTCTGCTGTGATTTACTCTCTGGAGTCTTAAGACTCTAGACATTTGGCACCAGTATTCCAAATGGCTATGTTGCATTTTGGAAAGCAAGTCTTTGACTTCAACACCTATACATACAAACACAGGGGCCCCACTACACAATAAAACTCTAAGAAAAAGCATGAAATTAAACATGCACAACTCAACTCACAAAACCCCAACAGCGGACCCTCAGAGAACATCCCGTCCCGGCCGTCGTCAATACCTGCAAGTACACTCGGACAAGAGACAGGGAAGAAAGAAAAAAAAACTGCAAAAGAAAAAAAGAGAGGGTTAGTCTGTGCACTAATGAACTTGATTTCAACATCAAATCAAAGAGTTTCCCTCCAAAACGCCATAACGCCATTCTTCGTCACTTTTTGGGAAGAATTTTCCTCGAGAGTCAGCTTTTCTGCTGTGATTTACTCTCTGGAGTCTTAAGACTCTAGACATTTGGCACCAGTATTCCAAATGGCTATGTTGCATTTTGGAAAGCAAGTCTTTGACTTCAACACCTATACATACAAACACAGGGGCCCCACTACACAATAAAACTCTAAGAAAAAGCATGAAATTAAACATGCACAACTCAACTCACAAAACCCAACAGCGGACCCTCAGAGAACATCCCGTCCCGGCCGTCGTCAATACCTGCAAGTACACTCGGACAAGAGACAGGGAAGAAAGAAAAAAAACTGCAAAAGAAAAAAAGAGAGGGTTAGTCTGTGCACTAATGAACTTGATTTCAACATCAAATCAAAGAGTTTCCCTCCAAAACGCCATAACGCCATTCTTCGTCACTTTTTGGGAAGAATTTTCCTCGAGAGTCAGCTTTTCTGCTGTGATTTACTCTCTGGAGTCTTAAGACTCTAGACATTTGGCACCAGTATTCCAAATGGCTATGTTGCATTTTGGAAAGCAAGTCTTTGACTTCAACACCTATACATACAAACACAGGGGCCCCACTACACAATAAAACTCTAAGAAAAAGCATGAAATTAAACATGCACAACTCAACTCACAAAACCCCAACAGCGGACCCTCAGAGAACATCCCGTCCCGGCCGTCGTCAATACCTGCAAGTACACTCGGACAAGAGACAGGGAAGAAGAAAAAAACTGCAAAAGAAAAAAAGAGAGGGTTAGTCTGTGCACTAATGAACTTGATTTCAACATCAAATCAAAGAGTTTCCCTCCAAAACGCCATAACGCCATTCTTCGTCACTTTTGGGGAAATTTTCCTCGAGAGTCAGCTTTTCTGCTGTGATTTACTCTCTGGAGTCTTAAGACTCTAGACATTTGGCACCAGTATTCCAAATGGCTATGTTGCATTTTGGAAAGCAAGTCTTTGACTTCAACACCTATACATACAAACACAGGGGCCCCACTACACAATAAAACTCTAAGAAAAAGCATGAAATTAAACATGCACAACTCAACTCACAAAACCCCAACAGCGGACCCTCAGAGAACATCCCGTCCCGGCCGTCGTCAATACCTGCAAGTACACTCGGACAAGAGACAGGGAAGAAGAAAAAAAACTGCAAAAGAAAAAAAGAGAGGGTTAGTCTGTGCACTAATGAACTTGATTTCAACATCAAATCAAAGAGTTTCCCTCCAAAACGCCATAACGCCATTCTTCGTCACTTTTTGGGAAGAATTTTCCTCGAGAGTCAGCTTTTCTGCTGTGATTTACTCTCTGGAGTCTTAAGACTCTAGACATTTGGCACCAGTATTCCAAATGGCTATGTTGCATTTTGGAAAGCAAGTCTTTGACTTCAACACCTATACATACAAACACAGGGGCCCCACTACACAATAAAACTCTAAGAAAAAGCATGAAATTAAACATGCACAACTCAACTCACAAAACCCCAACAGCGGACCCTCAGAGAACATCCCGTCCCGGCCGTCGTCAATACCTGCAAGTACACTCGGACAAGAGACAGGGAAGAAGAAAAAAAAACTGCAAAAGAAAAAAAGAGAGGGTTAGTCTGTGCACTAATGAACTTGATTTCAACATCAAATCAAAGAGTTTCCCTCCAAAACGCCATAACGCCATTCTTCGTCACTTTTGGGAAGAATTTTCCTCGAGAGTCAGCTTTTCTGCTGTGATTTACTCTCTGGAGTCTTAAGACTCTAGACATTTGGCACCAGTATTCCAAATGGCTATGTTGCATTTTGGAAAGCAAGTCTTTGACTTCAACACCTATACATACAAACACAGGGGCCCCACTACACAATAAAACTCTAAGAAAAAGCATGAAATTAAACATGCACAACTCAACTCACAAAACCCAACAGCGGACCCTCAGAGAACATCCCGTCCCGGCCGTCGTCAATACCTGCAAGTACACTCGGACAAGAGACAGGGAAGAAAAAAAAACTGCAAAAGAAAAAAAGAGAGGGTTAGTCTGTGCACTAATGAACTTGATTTCAACATCAAATCAAAGAGTTTCCCTCCAAAACGCCATAACGCCATTCTTCGTCACTTTTTGGGAAGAATTTCCTCGAGAGTCAGCTTTTCTGCTGTGATTTACTCTCTGGAGTCTTAAGACTCTAGACATTTGGCACCAGTATTCCAAATGGCTATGTTGCATTTTGGAAAGCAAGTCTTTGACTTCAACACCTATACATACAAACACAGGGGCCCCACTACACAATAAAACTCTCAGAAAAAGCATGAAATTAAACATGCACAACTCAACTCACAAAACCCCAACAGCGGACCCTCAGAGAACATCCCGTCCCGGCCGTCGTCAATACCTGCAAGTACACTCGGACAAGAGACAGGGAAGAAAAAAAAAAAACTGCAAAAGAAAAAAAGAGAGGGTTAGTCTGTGCACTAATGAACTTGATTTCAACATCAAATCAAAGAGTTTCCCTCCAAAACGCCATAACGCCATTCTTCGTCACTTTTTGGGAAGATTTTCCTCGAGAGTCAGCTTTTCTGCTGTGATTTACTCTCTGGAGTCTT